CAAAAAGAACGGAGACCCCATCATGAATACGCACACGCTTATTTCAATGTCCCGCACATCAGTGCCTCGTGTGTTGCCACTGAGACAGAAGCTCGCCGAGAGCATTCAAATGCTTCCCAGGCTGACCTGTTGCATGCTATAATGCAGTATCACTTTTTCACCAGCAAGGGGCGCAATATAACACATTCTGGGCAACATTTTTATTTAATACCACCCCTTATTACAGAGAAGTTACGTACAAGGAACATGGGGGAATTTATGTTTCTTATAATTTAAAGTTACTAAAATATATGTGGTTCTTTTAAAATAAAGATCACTGAAAATATGTATAATCTATCATTTATAATAGTCTAAAATGCATATGTCAATTTGAACACAGTTCACAAATTTCAGAAAATTTCAGAAAATTCAAAAATAAAATAAAAAGTAAAGATTTTGCTGAACACTGATCGATGTGTTCAATTCTAAGTCCAGGTTAACAGTGCAAGTTCAGATATGGTGTGTTATGATCTATCGTTGTCCAAAAGTTAGAAGTGGCAGACGGGAGGATGGATGACCAAGCAAATATGGGCACAACCAAGTTTTTAATAACATTTAAACACAGTTGGGTATTAGGGGCAGAGGGGTGGAAGTAGGGGTTAGTGAGTGGGGTTACATTGAACACAGTCCACATTTAATAACACAGTCCTCGTCTGGGAGATCAGCAAAGAAACCAACATTTATCCACCATTTCCAAGTCAGCTGACATGCTGAATGAATCTAAATACACATTAATTATTTTTTTTGTTCAGTTTTTTTATTGTATATTAAGTAAATGTTAACACTGAAATACACACCCACCCACACACACTTAAACATAAATCTGTTTTTCTGCATCTAGGGTCATATTCACAGCTGTGCTACAACATTAGATGAGGAAGGTAGGGGTGACTTCAGGGGTTGAGGCTAGTAAGAAGTTGGAGGACAAAGATCAAGTGATGATGGCTGGCTGAGGAGCCGGGGGGAGCAATAGTGCAGACATCCATATCCACAGAGCTTCAGACACAAAGACAGACCTATGGAGAAGGGAGCAGAGAAAAGTGATGCAAGAAAATATCAATACCTTGAAATATAGCAATATTTCTTGTGATACTCAATACAATTTTATATGCAAACATCTACTGCAGGCCTATTCAATTACTTTCCCTACTGGGCCAGATTTCAAAATCGTGGATCAGCTTTGGGCCGGATACCCAAATCTTTATTATATGTTTTACGGACAATGTTTAAATATTAAATTTTAATATTTTGACTGATATTACCTCCACCACTAATACGACAAAAAAAAAAAAAAGCAATTCACAATGTCTTTTATTGCTTTAATGATCTGTATTAATTTACCAGCTGCAGAGCTGGTAATACAAACATTTGTTTTATTAACCTCCAATAACTCAGTCGCAGCTACTAAATAAACATTTACAATAACCATAGCTCGACCGTTATTCTTGCAACTTTAGTGCGAGAGGTGGCACTTTTTGTTTTGAACAAGAAATGGAATATTTGGCTCATAGGAGCTGAGTGCAATGCGCAGACAGTAGTGCAGAAAGGTTCAGTGAGAGAGGAGCGCAGGTTTGTTTTGATTGCATTCATATGGGAAAAGCTGGATTCACAAATATAGGTGGATCCAAACATACTGAGGTACATTCTTGAGGTTTGGGAACTGATGGGCATTGATCTGACTCCAAAACTTAGCGGGGCCATTTGTGCGCAGCTCTTGTGGCATCGTAAGTGATGACTGCATGTCCACCAACTCCAGCAGGAACTGTCCCTCATCGATAGAAGAGACCACTTTCTCAGCTTTGATGGACAACGTTTCCTCAGCGATGGCAGCAAATGGATCTTTCGTTAATTGCATCGCCTCTGTAGGAAGTGACAGATCCTCCAGGCGACTGGTGAAGTTGCCCTTCAGTCATTTCTGCCGTGACTTTCGGAGGAGAGGTGGCTTCACGGAGTGTGGGAAAATGTAGCATTCTTTCACCAGTCAAAGTCAGTTGCGAACATGTTTAGTTTTGTCTGAAAGGCGCTTGTTTGCTCTGCAAGCTGGGCTGGGTCATTGCTGGGTCACAGCTAACATAGACATGAATATGTAGAAGCCACACTATGGCAGCTCCAATAGACAGCACCAGTCCACGTCTACGTATATATGTCCCTGATTGCTAAAATGGTGTTGTGTTCATGTGCAATATCAGTGTGGGAATTTAGAAACTTGCATGCTTAAACAGTTTTTCAACAGTTTTTTTCCCGTTGGTGGTTGGGGGATTGGGTGAGGTGGGCCAGCTGGGTAGGGCCCGCGGGCCGGATGTGGCCCACGGGCCGCCATTTGAATAGGCCTGATCTACTGTATTGTTAGGTGGCGGCCATTTTTACTGACTTCACTGTTTTGAAAGTGTCTGGCTGGAGTTTCCCAATTAAATTCTGTCTTAAACATTGCAAATATTGTCTAGCTTGTAGCATCGCAATATATCGTATTGTCTTCTCTGTACTGTCATTTATATCGTATCACCAGATTCTACACACCCCTGTGTTGAGGCAGCAATAGGAAATATTAAATACAAGGCTAATGTGGGAATGCCGCACCCTTATTCACGCTGGAAGCATCAGCGGTGCGGAAAGGCACGGCTTCAAATATATTCCATTAGGGTCTACGGGGGTTGTTCAAACCAGCCGCGCCTCCGAAATGTTCAGGCGTGTCCCAGAAGCAAGCCTCTTCTGGGACACGCCCATTTCCACACTTAACATAGGGCTATACAGGAAATCACACACAGTTTCAGTGTAAAACCAGTAATTTTCAAAATAAAACGCTATTGCAGTGATGCGATTTCGTATCTATGTAGATAGATACGATTCCCACACAATAGCGCTTGTCAGCGCTTTGTGATTTATATCTGTGAAAGGCGCTATATAAATAAACTTTTACTTACTTACTTACTTACTAGATTACGTCAGTGGCGGATTTAGCAAGGCAAACACAGACACGGGGCCCCTGACACTAAATTTTCGACAAACTTATCTTTAACTGGATTTGCGAAACTCTACCCTCTTCAGACATGAGTTATTTTCACTTATTAGTCCTCCTCTTTTTTCCTGTCTTTCTCCCCCTTTGAGTGCCTTCAACATTTGCTCTGTTTTCTTCTTGTCAGTGCTCCTGTGCTTTTGCTTTCTTTTTTTTCTTATATTTTCCATTTTGGTCTATGCTTTCCTCCCTTTAACCCTCCCACTGTCTTTATGGGTGACTCCGCGAGGAAAGTTGACCATTGAGCAGGATTGATGGTTTATCGCTTGAGGTCCACGTGGCAGGGGTGAGGTGGTGCTCACTCCTCACCCCTGCCACGTGTACCTCAAGGGATAAACCATCAATCCTGCTCAATGGTCAACTTTCCTCGCAGGGTCACACCCATTAGGACAGTGGGAGGGTTAAACATTTTCCATTGTCTTTTCTTTTCTGCTTCCTTTGGATGTTTACATAGAAAAACGACGTCACTTTTGGAAGTGAAGATAAAAGCTTTTTTGAAGCAAGCTGCTTCATTCTCTTATCGGAGTCACTAGGATACATAACTCCATTTCATGCTTAATGTTTTGACTACTGCTTCGAGTTTGTTACGAACGCTCCCGCCTTTCTTCTTCTTTTTCTTATTTGTGGTCTTACGGCACTTGGCAAACAACAATTTGATGCATTACTGCCACCAACTGGATTGGACTGGAATGACTACCAATCACTTCCCATTTGTGCATCAGCGTCTTAACCCTCTCAGGCTCAAAATAAGTTTTGATAAAAGGACGAACAACTAAGTACTTCAGGGCTACTTCGCTCATGAAATGCGTGTGTGGAGTAACCAGGTACTGTAGGTAGGTTTTAACGTTGCAAATCTGCAACGCCTGCCTCCAGAGGGGTAAAAGAACAGTCCATTGAGGCATTAACAGAGGGGTGCCAGCAGTCAGGGCTAGGGAGCCCCGCAACATAAGGGGGCCCAGGCGGCCGCCGACCTATCCTAATGGTAAAACCGCCACTGGATTACGTCAAAACAAGTGACCTAACAGCTTATTTACTCCCTGCATCGTTCCAGAGGTGCAACCGTGTGTTTTTATGGCTTTAGTCCTGGCAGTGGAGGGGAACAACATCATATATGTCATCAAACAGCGATATCAAACGTGATTTCCTTCTTTTTGATTTAATGGCAGATGGCATAAACAAACCATGACCTTTAACGTCTCTAGGGATTTTGTGATCTCGTGGGTCCGGCGATGAGTACAGCTGAGATTCTCCCAGTGTGGACTGCCACGCAGCAGAGCTGTGAACGTAGGGGTAATAGCCACCCTGTTCCATAGCTGCTTCAGCAATTTTGGCCCAGAACATGACCCAATTCGACTCCAGGCCCCCTGCCTCTCTACAACTGATGAAATGGCTCTTCTACAAGTTGAAGATCTCTGGACTGGGGCTTCTGCCAGATGTTACCAGAGTGTCCTACTGCTTAGTTCACCTACAAACACCTATAGGATCTAGAAAAGTGTTTGTTATGGACAAAATCGCTGTACGAAACAAAAATATCAACCAGGTTTAGATCAGGCAGCCTCTTCTAGACACTTCTTGCTTAGCCTGGATTGCCCCAAACCCAGCTTGTTCATTCAACAGCAATATCAGGGAAAACCTCATCAATTACTCATTTTACTGGCCCTGTCTTCAGTGTGAAATGAATCATACATAATAAGCTGTTAATAATTTTTGAGGCAACAGACAAATGAGCTTCATAATGGATGGCAGTGTGAGTTACACTCCATTGCAATGTAGGTCAAATCTGTCAAAAACGACTATCACAATAAATAATGCACACTACTTTTAATGAAAACACTGCACATACCTTGGGGTTTGTGGGCCAGGTAGTCTACATGAAGTCCTTAATATTGAGGTCATCCAGAGCGTTCCTGGGTGGTGGGGGCTTTCTGGGACTCTGAGCCACTCCAGGAGACATCTGCATACAAACCATGTTTGTTTACGCACCCTTAATTTGCATATGAGACATTTTTGTATGATTCACAGAGACACACATTACCGGTGCTCCTGGAGTTACTCCAGCGGCAGGGAAGCCTGGTCTGGTCATTGGCACCATAGGTGCTCCGGCAGCTGGTGCCCCAGCCTTTAATAGAACAAGAAGGAAGACCAGAAAGGCAATAAGATTACATGTTTATCATACGGTGGTTGTGAGAGGGACACCCTAAAGGGGCTGATTGTTCATCAGCATCCAGTAATGTCCAGATGGATCATTACTAGACTGGACTGGAGTGGTCGTCTTACCATGGTGAAGCTGGGGTACATCCCCATAAAAGGAGCAGCACCCATGGGCATGGTCTAAAGGTATGGAGGGGAGGGGTGGAGAGCAGGAGTTGGGATGTTACTAGACTACATATAACACAAACAGATGCAAAAAAAATCCCAATAAAACTAAATGAATAAAAGTCAAACACAAACATAATGGTAAAGACAGATAGTAGACACTGGCACATGAAACATCAGGACAGGCCACGAAACAAAAGCCTTACTTCAGGAGTAAGGCCACTCTTTTTGACACATGCATGGAGATTAAGAGGGCAGGAAGGAAGCTCGTAGCCTTCAGATGAATGTTTTTGTCCTGTTTTTACCAAAAACAAAAGGGTGTTGCTAAAAAGGAAGAACTACTTGTCTTAACTCTATCAGGCTTCTCTAAAAGAAAATAAGAAGTTGTTTCCAAGCAACAGCTTCTTAGTATAGAAGGCTTATTTGCCATTTCATCACTCTCCAGTAAAGAGACATTTGTTTTTCACTGTTTTTGTTTATTATCCAAGGTGTATGACATTATGCGTATTCTTGCATTGCTCACTGACACGTCTTGTCTCGTTGGTTACTGGAGAACCAAATGAAGGCAACACTTAAAGAATGCTGCTGTTGGAAGGCCCTGTCTGCCATGCGGCTCCACTCCATGCTATAAGACACAGACAACATTTACCATGGGAGCACCCCAACTGGGGGGAGCTACCTGAGGGGCCGCTGGAGTTCCCATTGTGAGATCTTAGAGAAAGAGAGAAAAAAGAGGGACAGCTTTTGCAAAATCATTGCTTCCAAATATAAGGATACAAGACTGGATCAAAATGTTCTTGTTTTGCACTTTGAGAAATGCACGTTTGTGATTTTTCACCAAGTCTAAGACTAAAACTTTAAAAGTTTACGGGTTGAACTGAAATTTTTTTAACTTTAGTTAAAAATACTGAAACAAAAACGACAAAGACAAACAAAAAAGGAGTCAAAGCAATATCTGGTGTGACACAAATAGTCTTTCTTCCAGGGACAATTGCACACAGTTGTTCATGGAATTTAACAGGAAGGTGGCTCCCAACGTCTTAACTCTTATGTGGATGCTGGTTGGCTCAAGTACTTCTGTCTCTTTACATTATCCCACAGACACTCATTGATGCTGAGATCTGGGCTCTGAATTAAGTTCTTAAGACACTATTGGGGTGGAATGTATAGGGGATTACCCAAATTATGTATTAAGCTTGTTTTCTATATCTTCTTAAATTATGAGCCAATTACATGCCTACCTGGTCGTATTATTTTACAAATACATGTCTAAATGATTCACTCGCATCAAGGATATTGTTGAAGCTAAGAAAATACTCAACTCTGCTGGGAAAAAAATGCACTCACAAACCATAAATCAACCTCCACCGTGCTTCACTCCTGACCACCCTCATATTGGTTTCCAGTTTATTCAGGCATTAAACTATCTTGTTTTTTACTGCCAAATATTTCACATTTTGACTTATCAATCAAATCAAATACCTGCTGCCATTTTGAAAAACAATTCTATAAAGAAAGGTGTAATTTAGTCTTATTGTCATGCTAGGTGTTTTGGGAAAGAAATTTTCCATGAAGACTTTTCTGTCAGCTTTCAGGTGTTTGTACAACTGGAGATCACCCCAAGTTTCCTTGACCAATCACTGCATCTACAATCTTCAAAATCCAAGCTTTTTTAAATGAGAAGCGCCTCCAAAAACCCAAACGTGAAGTATTTTCCTGGAAGACACATTGCTGAAGTTGTAAAAAATAAAATAAAATAAAAACTTGTGTCAGTTCCTACATTGTGTTTGATCTGACATAAAATTGTCTTCTACATCCTACCCTTTGTAGCAGCTTAATAATAAATTGACCATCTTCCTGCCTGTGAATAAGTTAGTTTACTGAGGGGATTTAAAGAAAAAAGAAAAGCTTGCCCAACTTTGTTTAATGGAGTTTGCTGTAACGTGATGACGGAGCTATTCCACCGAAGGTTATCGACCCTCTCTCCTCAGATGCCTCTGACACAGAACTAATATGCGTGAGACTGTCTCAAGGTCATGCATTTGCTTCTAAACTGCTTCCTTTCCAGCCCAAGAGAAGAATGAAGACAAAGGACTCTTTCCTGTTAATAAATAAAAGAACTCTATTTTAATAAAGCTAATCAAACAAAGTGTTAGTCAGTAATAAGATGTTGACCAATCTGTGAAATGACAATGTTATGATTGGTAAGTTTCAATGAGTAATATGACTTTAATCTAGCTGCACTAGACACCTTGATGACACGTAATGTAAACGCATGACACATGGCTTTTACTCATCCAATCCAAGCCCCCACAATGCCGCTCAGAAAATGGTCCCAACCCGGAAGTAAGAAAAATTGCAGTTCCACCCTCATCCGCTGGGGGCTGGTGCCAGAAGCGAGCAAATCCTCATTGACTCCCATGTTGAAAATGCCGATTTCACAGCAGAAATAAACATGTTTACAGCCTGGTGCCAAAACATGTTTTTTGTCTAAATTATCTAGTTTATACTCATGACAACTCTGAGGGGGGTGAATTTTTTTCTCACTCTTCTGTTTAAGTGTATTGAAAGCCTAAAATTCTGTATAATTAATGAGCATCCGACACACGTGACCGCCGCCTCAGACCCACGTGACCACAGAGCTAGCTCCGTGGAAAGGCCTCAGTACAGCCTCGGTCTGGCTTGGAAACTGCTCCGGCATTTTGAGTCTCTGTGTTTGTGTATTCTTCTTTGGATATTATTGGTGCAATTGTTGGACAAAATGACTTGCAGTGGTATTAATTGCACTAATAGAGCGTCCAAGGAGTCTCCACTTCATTTTTTTCGGTAAGTTAAAATCTATATTCGTATTTTATGTCACTGCTACCTTTAAACTAGCTGAGTTTACCGAAGTAGCTAGCTAACTATCAGTTTAACATGTAGCATTTACTGTTTAACCATGAAATTTAAATGTAAAATACGGTAAAATAATTAATAGGGCATATTTAGATGGGTAATATGGTAAAAGATCAAAATGGGTTGAAATATGACGGAGCGCTAAGAGGGAGACTTCTGTGTCCATTCTTCCACCCGGTAATCCCCAGCGGTCAGGCCGGGCAGCCTGACCGATCCGGCGCCTACTTGCTGCGCCTAGCTGCTGCGCGGTCTGACCGCTCGTGGAGTTTTTCATGTCTGACTTTAACCGCATCTAATACTGTATTATGGCGTGAGCGCAACAGCGACAACTTAATATCGATGTGTAAGCAGCCTGAGTGGTAGGGTGTTTTCATCTGAACCCTTAAAATCTCCAGCAGGCTTGGAGTGACACCTGTGTCCATTCTTCCATCCGGTAATCCCCAGCGGTCAGGCCAGGCAGCCTGACCGGTGCGGCGGCTAGTTTCTGCGCGGGCTGACCGCTCGTGGAGCTCTCAGAGACAGATCTGACCGGAGAAATACTGCAGCTCGGTGAGAAGTCTATAGGGCATACAGCGTTTCCCTTAAATCCCACCGCCACGCCGACAAGATCCCAAGTTTCTTTGTTTTTGTTGGCGCTGTTTACCGAAGAAGCAGCGGGAACTAATATGTTGTCGCTTGTGATCACAGCCGGCGGGTAGCAAGTATGTACAGTCTATGATTTTACCGCTCCCTCCTGCAGTCTTCCCCTATTAAAATTTAAAATGTGTAACTTCATGTATTGGGATGAATGACTGATATTCATGTTAAACTCAAACGTTAGGCATTTAGGGGGGAAAAACAAAATAATAAACATTATACAGATGTCAAATAAATCAAACTGTAATTAAACTATATATTTTCAAAGTCTTGATTCTGGATAAAATCCAACAACATATGCTTTATAAATAAACACTACACATGGCTTTTACACACACACACACACACACACACACACACACACACACACACACACACACACACACACACACACACACGTTACATTGTGATTTCTTAGTAAATATTCTATTTGGCGAGAGATAAACTTTATTGTATTTATCCTAGTGAATCTATAATTAAACGGGTAAACTAGCAGTAGTACATCCAACATCAAAGAAAGTAAAATGTTATTATCAGGAGAGGGAGAATGATTAAGTGGTTAGCAGCAGTGTGCTAGATGATGGCCCCCTCCATGAGGCCACCACAGCTCAGCAGAACATCATTGTAGCTTCTTCTGGGGAGAAAAACACTTAGAGAAAAAATAAAGTTAACAGCTGAAATAGCAGGAAATAATACAGTTAAAGAGCAGATTGTAGAAGAAAGAAACCCCTGGGTTAAACTGGTCTGTCTACTGCATAATGCTGAACTCTAACATGTGTCCTCAGGGAAGGACCTGATTGGTGTCCAGAACCTGCTGAAGAAGCACCAGGCTCTGCAGGCTGAGATCACAGGTCATGAACCTCGCATCAAGGCTGTCAGCCAGAAAGGAGAGACCATGGTGGAAGAAGGTAGAGCAGGTCTGGTCCTGACATGTTTCTGAGGTGTCTGCAGGTTCTGGCTCACTTTGTTTGGGTCCAGGTCACTTCGCTGGTTCAGAACCCTCGGCCCGTCAGAACATTCTTATCCACCACGTTCTAACACCAGACCTGTTAACCCGACAGCAACAAGTGGCTCCAACTGACGATGAGACCGGGAAGGAGCTGGTTCTGGCTCTGTACGACTACCAGGAGAAGAGTCCTGGAGAGGTCACCATGAAGAAGGGCGACATCCTCACGCTGCTCAACAGCACCAACAAGGTTCGTGTGCCCTTCACAGCCGAGGAACGACCTCCAGCTCAGAGCGAACATCTCCACACCTGCTTTGTGTTTGTGTGACTTTAGGTTGTTTTACTTGAACTCGCGTCTTTAGCTGAATGAGGATGGAGAGACGGGTCGGACCTGGAGCAGGTCGAGGTCTTGCAGAAGAAGTTTGACGACTTCCAGAAGGTCGGACTTTTCCTCCTCTCCGTCTTCCAGCAGCAGCTGTCAGATCAGCTCAGGTGATAATCAGCTGTGCTTTTGTCCTGCAGGACCTGAAGGCCAACGAGTCCCGCCTGAGGGACATCAACAAGGTGGCATCTGAACTGGAGTCAGAAGGTCTGATGGCTGAGGAGGCTCCTATGGTTCAGGCTCAGGTGAGCGTCACCTGTCTGCAGCAGCTGGTCCCTCTCACTTCCTGGTTTGTTAACTCTGCTCGTCTCTGTTTGTAGCAACAAGAACATCTGGGTTCTGCTCCTGGAAAGGTGCGTGTTGTCCTCCGCCTCCACCAGAACCAGACGTGGTGTTTATGTTACCACTCATTTGTTTGTTTACAGGATGAAGCCGACTCTAACCCCGGCTTTCCACCGGAGCCGTCAGCAGCACGTTACTACAGCAGCACGTCATAGCTGCTGATAGGAACCGCTGTGGTCAACAGAACCTTTTCCACTGGAGCCGTCAGCAGTGCGAGTCGGCCGCGTCTCAGGAGCAGCATGTCGCGGCCTTTACGCGCCGGTTCTATTTTCTACGCGCGACGCCTCTGAAACGGGTCAAGTTCGACATTTTTGGGGAAGGAAAGACAGGAAATCGGACGCGGAAATGGAGCGAAGCTCCCGAGATTTTCAGAATAAAGAACATACTGCCTTCTGGTTGCTTTACTTTTAAAAACAGTTACTAACTGTGCGGCCCCGTGAGAAGTTATCACCTAGCTAGCGGTCTCCTTTGTTTTTCAGGTCCGTATTGGCGATTATAAAATGGACAGAACATAAAACACAAACCATGTTGTAGTTTTCTCCTGCTTGTTGTTGTGTTTACTGACGAAGTCACTCGTGTGACTTCGTGCTCGGTCGGTGACAGCTGCTCCCCTGCTGCTTCGCGTCACGTGGGAAGGGCCAAGCAGCAGCTTACGCGAGCAAGACGTGCTGCTGCAGTAACGTGCTGCTGACGGCTCCCGTGGAAACCCGGGGTAAGACGGCGTCACCCTAGAAGGTGAGTTCATTCAGCTGATCAGAGGTCACCTCTGATGGCCGCAGTCACGGCCGACCGTGCTGACATCACACAGGAATTCAGGTGACCCGGCAGGCACCAGGTGCTGGTGAAAGTGGGGACATGTCAGCTGGTTGCCATGGCTACAGTTATCTTTATGCATCTGTATGACTGCTGACTGGTGTGTGTTTCCTGTGACCTTTGACCTCAGACCGTACGGTTGGGCGTTCAGACGACGGCTAACTTTAATTCCATCAAGGTAAGAGGAAGCTCTTCCCTTCCTGTCTGAGCGATCCGTCTCCAGGTTTCTTCGTCCGGCGTCCAGCCCGCTGGCGTCCACCTTCATCTCACTGGGTTTGGTTTCTCTCCAGGAGCTGAACAACCGCTGGCGCTCGCTGCAACAGCTGGCTGAAGACCGGAGCAACATGCTGGGCAGCGCCCATGAGGTGCAGCGCTTCCACAGGTACCCCGCACACTTATGCGCCGCTTACGGGTCAGTAGAGTTTGGACCCACACTCAGACGGAGTTCTGATGTCTTCTCAGAGATGCTGATGAGACCAAAGAGTGGATCGAGGAGAAGAACCAGGCCCTGAACACAGACAACTACGGCCACAACCTGGCCAGCGTTCAGGCTCTGCAGCGTGAACATGAAGGCTTTGAGCATGACCTGGCAGCTCTGGGTGATAAGGTCCGCTTCCTGATCGGTACCAGGACCCGAGTTGTCTCTGGAGACACGTTCTTCATGGTTCTGGTGACTCCACCCCAGCCATTCCTGATCAGCGGGGTGCTTTCCTATTTAAGGTGGATGGAGGACACAAGTTGACGCCAGAAGATTGCCTCAGTTTTGGTAGTAACCAGCCACTCGTGTTACCTCTAGTGTTCCTAGGATTAATGTTATTTCGTAGTGTTTTTGCTCTTATATTGGATTTACCATTCTTCAGGATTCCTGTCGACCTCATTGGATACTGACCTCTACTCCAGGATTTGGATATTCAACACACGGACCTTATCACCAGCCTCCATAACCCACCTCTCATCTCACCCAGTGCCCCATCCACCAGGACGCCCCGCTTCTCTCCACCTCTGCTCCCTCTCCTGCGCTTCCTCTCTACCTCTCCCTCCTCCAGCCAACACATACACCCACCACAGTAAGTCTGCTGAACACCTCTGCCTGCCTACAATGGATTTTGAAACCAGAACCTAAGCTCACCTGTGTTCTCCCTCCTCCAGACGCTGAGCTGTTGTTGCAGTTCCAACCACAGACTTATCTGTGCACCTTAAGTTCCTCCTTATAAATAAATCATTTTTTCCATCAGTTTTTGGTCAGTGTTGTATTCTGCATGTCTTGGGTTAAGTACCTTCCTCCAAACATGACACTCCTCCTCAAAGAGCAAATCTGTTCAGCACATTCTGACAGACAGACCACCATTCTTCTGTCATGATGCTGTACAGGACATTTTTAGAGTTTTTCTTTTTAAAGATAAATAGGATTACATTTAAATAGCAATACTTTCACATTATCATTTTCCCACACTTCTGTATAACTGTATTTTGTTGTTTTTCAATAAAGAATGACAAATTATTTAAGTTTGGATTTGTTGCACACAAATATATATCTGTAAAAAATATCTACAAAGCTAATGTTTACATAAGTATGATTGGGTTTTGCAATACGCCACTATTTTAGTAAGATTTTTAAACCAAGTAAAGTTAGTAAAGAACACATTTCTATTGTCTGCTAAGAAACTGTTGGGATTTAAAATGGGCCTGTTGTACAAATAACTTGTAAATGATTATTCCTCACTTTTGTCTTAACCAAAGAAATTCCAGTAATTGAGCAAAAACATTTATTTTTAACACTACATTTTATAAAACAGGGCACAGTGTCGGCACATGTATGTATGTCGATGGTCCGCCCCAACCGAACCAGGAGACACAGACGTCAGGGAGGCCAAGGTTGTGTCCGACGGTCTCTGCAGCTCTCTGGGCACCACGCCTCACTCAGCTGTCTCCAATGATCCAAATGGCTATGGAGGAAAAAATAACAGGTTTGTCATAATTGTTTAAAGTACAAAACCATACATGAAGTGGTGAGACAGGTATGTGGAATTTACACTTGCTGCTTTGTGTAGCTGATGTTGGAGACACACAGGCTGCCATGGTGACATTTTAACAGATCTAAGAAAAAAATGAAAATTAAAAACTCCCAGACCTCATGTCATATTTACTCATCAGCTATGGCTGATTTATTGTTTGGATCACAGTGAGTTACACTAATTCTAATATATTTTTATTTCTATTATACATACATACTTTTTAACTGTTATTTTCACATGACTGTTATCAGGCTCTCTTGTTCTGGTTCTCATGATAATTCCGTGTCTTCCAGTAAGTTATCTTGTGCTTACTTCATCTGTAGAATGTCTCTTTACTTTTGGTAAATTGTACTGAGTCCAGAATAAAGACTAGTTGGCTGTACAAGATACAAACAAGTATTACATTTTGGAAATATATGAAATGTATTTAGGCTGCTAATTTAGCTCGAATACTAATAACTGCCATATTTTCCGGACTATAACTCGCACTTTTTTACATATTCTGGCAGGTCCTGCTACTTATACTCCGGAGCGACTTATATAACAAAATATGTAGGCTACACCGCGCTGCTGCGGGCCGACTCCGACCCACACAAGAATGAGTTCCCCTGTCCCGCTGGGAGGGTTTCAAACACCGCCAGCATCTGTTAGAGCCTGTGGCGGGGTGCTGAGGGCCGGCTCCAGCCCAGGAATGAGCTGTCCTCGCCGGCCGGGAGGGTTTGAAACACCGCCATCCTCTCCTCTGCTGGCTGTTCATTCTGTTATGGTTACCGGTGCTTGTGTTGCAATGTGAAACGCTTGGTCTCGGATTTTGTAAGAAAGATAATAAAATGTCCCCCCAAAATACGACTTAAATATATTTTCTCTTCTTCATGATACATTTAATGGCTGGTGCGACTCAGGAGTGATAGCGCCGAAAAAAACTGTACTGAAAACTTGCTCAAAGCAAAATGTATTCATTACGGAAATAAATTATAAACTTACCGATTTAAAACTTTTTTAATACAGGTACTTCTGACGAACAGGCGCAGAAAACCTCCACCTAAACTCCGTGTGAGGTTCAGGTCGATGGGTGTTCCAGTTAGCTCCGGTTGGGTTGAAGCTAGGTGGCTACATCCGTTAGCTCGGCTCCCACCTCCGCTTTAGCTTTGGGTTAGCCAGGGTTAGCTTCAGGTTAGCTCGTAGCTAGTTCGCCTGGGTGTCGTCACTCGAGCCCAGCCTTACAGCCACACCCTCAGCGCCTCCTCTCTTCCCTTTTATGGAATTGTCTGGGCTGGACGGAACCTGTGACACGGTCAAAATGGCGGTGGTGGACACCTCCCATTATGGACAGATAACGTGTTATTGAAGCCTATGGAATCGAATTGTCCAGTATATGTACAGTCTATGATCCAATCGGAACCTTCCTTTCTGAAGCGTGGCATAGTCTCTGTGGTGTTTATATATCTGCCAACTTTGATTCGACCATAAATCAAAAGATCCAGATTAATTAAACCAGTCCCCACGCCATCTTAGATCAGTTCTCTGAGTTCTCTACAGTTCACTGCATTCTAAGAGAAGTATCGGACCGGCCACCCGGACTTCCTTTTTAAGCAAAGAACCAACAAGCTGGATAAAATCTGTTGCATTTTACCAACCAAGCAACGGTTCCTTTCAGAATAAAAGCTGAACTCACTGACCCTCCGGGTCCATCTGACGCTGTCAACCAACTGTCGCTTTTACCTGGAGACAATCCCAAGACCAGTCTGTCTTACTGCTGACGCCGTTTCATCGGCTCCGATACCGAAAGGGGGGTCCGAGGACCTTGCAGTCTGGATCTGTACGGAGGTCTCATCCTGAAGGGTATGTGTGGAGCGACAAGATGGCGTCTCATGTGTTTATGAAACTCCGATCATAACTTAAGAGCAAAACATCACAACATCACTCAGACTTGCTTCTCCGGATACGAGAGTTCTGATGACATCACTCACACATACACCATCCATCCCACGTCTCATTCGCACCAAGATCCATCCATTCACTTAAGAGTTTAGAGTTAGTCTTGTTTAAAATTGTTTAAAAATAAATATTCTTAAACGTTTTAAAGGTGACTCTCTCTTCTGTTGTCTCTCAGTTAATATGAAGTGTTAAATAATCCCTGCAATAAAAAGTTCCAATCTTTTGGTTAAAATAACCCAAAGATCTGTAAAATTGATTTCATATTTACTATGGAATCTTATGGTTCATTAAATAAATGTAAATTAACCCCTTACATTGCTTAAAACACATTTTAACTTCCTCACCAAGAAAGAAATCATTGCATTTTTTTCATTTGGGGCAATGAGAGCTTTAGTATAATGTAAATAAACAATAGTAATTAAATAATAATTGCAATAATATTGAGGTAATGATAATGCTATGTAATAATTTTTGCCTTTTCTTGAAAATCTCCATTTTTTTAGGAATGAGATGGACTGAGTCAGACTTTTTTCTTTGCCAAATCAACTGGTCATACAAACCTGTGTTATTGTTATGAAGAATAATTAAGTCCATCTAGTTAGAGCTGTTCAGATTCAGAAAATCCCATTTCACCTGTGCGCTTTGTCTCTGAATTGAAAACAAATGTGCATTTCTCAAAATGTCAAACATTTCCACCGAGTCAGATTCATCTATTTGTATCTGTACATTTTAAACGACTACTTACTACTTGCCATGTTAGCCATGGATGTGTCAACATCACCCGCCTGGGGAGTCATGGTGGGCTTCATTACGTCCCCTAGCCCATCAAATACTACACCAAGGAGAGGAGGAGGAAGGAGGGAAAGGGAAGGGAGACGTTAGCATCCTTTAGTGTGAGCTATCCCCACGATCTACCACGACTCAGCAGGGGTCCTTACTACTGAGGATTGCCATGGCAACCACTACACATCTCTATGACAACAAGGAAGGGACCGCTGGCATGTGGACAGTTTGAAGAGTTTGTATTGTTAATTCAAAACAACAAACTAATAGCTAGTTTATATTTTGGTGAGTGGGTTTTCACACAATAATGGCTACAATATAAAATGTGTGAGAATAAAGGCATGACAATATACAACATGGGTTCTTCATGCCATAAAAAGAAAGGATGAGGGACACAAATATTCACCATAATATTTCATTTAATTTTGAATAGTTCAGGGAAGATGAGAAATCATTTATTTTCTTACTGTGGGCTTTTATGCTGCAGAAATTTTAATGAGGAAAAAGAAAAAAGCTGGCAGGATGAAGGCATGTTGTGTGATAAAGCAAGGCTAAATAGTGCAACTACGTCATATGGATACTCTCTGGAACCGTAGAGACCTGATGGTGTGTGTGTGTGTGTGTGTGTGTGTGTGTGTGTGTGTGTGCGTGTGCGCGGGGGGTAGTCCAGCGTTTGGCTCACACTGCACCACTGCAATGCAGTGCACTGTGGGAAATTAGAGTGGTAAAGAGCAGGGAGACTCACCCAATCAAATGGCAGGAAGCAAGAAATGAGCCAGCCCAAGAGCCAGATGGAGAGAGAGAGAGAGAGCAGGGAAGATTGAAGGGCAAAATCA